TGGGCAACTGACACTTTCAAGTGCATGGGCTGAATTACTCTAAGGCATATTGCTCTCAGTTTTATTGACAGTAGCCCAAACAACTGGATAGAACGGTACTTATGATTAATGAAAGCTGGTTTAGAAGTAGCTCATCTTTTTGTAATTCTTGCATCTTACTTTTTTTGTTTTCCCCATATTGGAAATAAATGCATTGCCTTGAACAGAATCCAAAGAAAGAGTTAGAAAGCTTCTGTAAATCTGCAGTTCTGAATGATTTCGAACTGTGGTTTTCTGTTCTGTTTGCAGGAGATGCAGATGCTTTGCTCTTACTGTACTAGGGAGGAGGGTGCTACTGAAAGTATACTGAGCTGTCAACTACATGGCTGAACTAGCCAAATGCAACTTTTTTGAGTAGGATAGAGGCAAATAAGAAATAGATGAAGATGGTATGAAGACAAGTAGAAGCCATGACTAAAGATCAGTGAGTCTAATGTAAGGTCTTCTAGAACAAATATATCAGTGTCTGTAATAAGGCACATGACTTGCAGAGACCCTGAGAGACATCTGTAATCTGATAACCCAGAGCTTTTTCAGTTGAAAAAAAGAACCTTTGCAAAAAATTAGATGGACTGAAGCTACTTTACATTCCTGTAAGAAACCCTGTTCACTTTTTGATTCTGAACTTGATAATTTTTCAGACAGTTTTCTACAGAGACCAACTTGGGGTTGGGGGTTGACAGACTGGAAAGAGAGGGGCAGATTGTGCACTTAAGACTAGTTTGCTTTTTGTTATTTAGGGTTTTGTTTATTCTAAGCAGTTGGTTTGATGGACAGGTCTGGAGCTGGAATTAGCTTTGTTTGTATTTGCCTTACAAAATGGTTAAGGTTTGGAATTTCATTAGTGATGTTGATGTCCAATTCCCTCTCCTTCTATCTTTTATTACCAAAAAGAAAAAATCCACATACAGAAGACTGCCAAAAACTGAATCTACAACATTTTCCAGATAATTCTCATAGTTTTCATGTAATCTTGTATCAATCACTTGCATCTTAAGCAGTACAGGTATTCTGGCTTTATAGAAATTCTATTCCTATTAACTTTTTCTTAAATTCCTGAAATAAGGAATGTAATGTTCCGGATAGCACTTGGTCTTCTCAGAAGTGACATTTGCAATGGAATCTAGTGTCCGTGTCACTTCCTGAAATCTTCTTGTTTGTGAAAAGTCTCACTGGTCTTTTTTTGGTCTCCCAAAAGAGACCCATTCGGGTCTTCAACTAACACTCTCTTAGATATGACTTTGATCAGGTAATTGATAGTAATAACATCTTTCTGAGAGTGTAAGTCATATTTGACTTGTCTTGAGACTGGCTTAATAATATTGTTGTTCTTGAGTTGTGTAGCTGTTAAGCTAGGTTCCAGCTGCTCTGTTAAAAACATTGATTTCAAAGCTTATGTAATTAAGACAAAAGTTTGTAGAGTTCATAAGAGTGGTTATACTGCAAAATGTAATTGGCAGGGTTAATTTTCTTTAGACTTCTGAAAATAACTCTAACCTTCAATCATGTAGAGTATTCACTTACAAAGTGGTCTGCTGGACAGGCTTTGGTTGAGACTTGCAGGAGATGGTAGGAATTATTTTGCATTCTGACAAACCACTCTCTTCTCATTCTGCACATTCTTTTTCTGGGATGTAATAATTCTGAAAGTGCTTGCAAAATTACCTTCTTACCAAATCCGGTTCCACCATACACAATATTGCTTCTATGCTAGAAGACAGACTGACAAAACTTAGCTTGTTAGACACCGTGTTATCAGGAAACTGACTTGTTTTTCTGTTGCCTTCTGTTGTTGCATCACTCCTGTTGCTCTCTCTTTCACAAGTAAAGAAAACATAAAGACAGATTACATCAGAAAATGATACAGCACCTAGAATGAATGGGATTTCTGCTCCTGAGGCGAGGAGTGCCTCAGCCCAACCTTTGATCTGAAACACCAAATTCAAAGGCACTACTGTTACATGAACTGGAGCAGTCATTTGTTAAGACAGATCTACTGCTTTGTCTGCAGAGGGCACTCCTTTCTCTAATTTCAGATGTACTGTGTCTTTCTCTGTGGCATGTCAAGTTACTTAAAATGTTCATAATTGCCTGTATCACCAGTCTGTTTCACAGCTAAAATTCTGCAAGGGATCTTTCTTTTGGTAGAATTCTTGGGTTTTCATATGCAAGCAAAGGTCTGGTGCAAGAGTTCTCCCATAAATGCAGTCAATAACCAAAGAAGGGTATTTACTGCATACTCTGTATGAAGGGAGCACTTGCTTGGAATAGTTTGTAGGCAGATTAATAGTTTGTTAAAGTGTGCTGCTGCTTTATCTGTGCAAGTTTTATATGGCATTACTCCTTGATCCCATCAGTATCATTATCTGCTGTTTGAAGGCATTCTGGAACTTCGTATCGATGAAGTTCTACTTTCATTTAGGTTTAATGATTACTTGTAAGTTACTAAGAGTAGTCTTCCAAACTGGTGATGTTTGGGAGACAGAGAATTTAAGTAGTAGTTATGTCCTTCAGTATAATTTTTTTGTGTGTGCTTTACCTGGCCTTTCCCATGTTTTTTGAAGTCTTTAGAAGGAGAAAAAAAGAAAGAAGAAAAAAAAAAAGAAGTGTCAGGAACTTCTGGTATTAATACGTTTGTTTTGAAAAGGAAGAGGAGTTGGTGCCAGGGAAGCTGTTAGCAAACTTGCGGTTTAATTTTTACATGCTGTTATGCACACCGTATGTTGGCCACAAAGTACAGGATTATTTGGATTGCAGTGATTGCTGTAAGAGTAACAGTAATTAAGAAATCATTAGTAAAATTCCTTTGAGAAACTGAGCTGTCATTCACTTACAAAGCTAAGTTAATAAAGTTATTTCTGCTTGTATGCTTAAAAAACAAACAAACCACACACACAAAACCACTGTGAAACCAGCGCATTATGAGCCTTTGATGAAAATACAGGTGAATATGAGAAAAATGTTTGCACATCGAGTAAATGAGAAAATAGGATGCACTTGGGCAGAGACAAATTGAAAATACCCTTGGAAAAAAAAAAACCTCCTCTTCTGTTTTGTCTTTTTTTTTTTCCCCCCTGTTGAACATTTATGCTCTTTCCTATTTAGTATGGTATCTTTTATAGGTTGGCTTTGACTTTGCTTCAAACTGAAGTGTGTGTTACTGTTCTTCCAGTTACATTTGCATTTCTTTGTCAGTCAGTTTGTGCCATATAGACAGATGTACCTTGCAGTTTCTGTATAGAGCTGGGGTGGTTCAGTTGTATGAATTAACTCTGGCACAGCAACACAGGAAATGTTAATGTAATTAAAAATTTTAAAAAGCATAGTGCATACTCTTCCCTTCATGCAGATGTTTTAGTTGCAAGATAGCTATTTGTATTCATAGAATTAAATGAATAATATAAGGATGCTGGAGGCCATCTCATCTAACCTTACAATCAAACCAGGGCCAGCTTCAAAGCACAAAGCCTTCAGCAGTTGAATTTTTCTGTATATCTCCAGGGAACCTCCTAGGCAACCTGTTGCTGTGCTTTACCTTTCTCATTGTGAATTTTTTTCCTCATGTCTGGTTCGAATTTGCTGTGCAGCAACTTGTCACTGTTGCCTCTTTTCCTTTTGTTGTGTCCTCTGTCATGTCTGTAATTCTCCATTGGATAACCAAAGGCAGTGATTAGATTCCCACAAATACACCCCTCGTCCCGCCTCAATCTTCTCTTCCACAGGCTGAACGCACCAAGCTCCCTCAGCTTCAGCTTGTACATCATACGCTCCAGTACACTAGCCAGATTAGTGCCTTTCTGCTGGACTCTCTCCTGTTTGTTAATGCCTCTTACACTGTGGGCCCCAAACCTGGAAGAGTAATGCAGGTACAGCTTAAAGAGTGCTGGAGTAAAAGGGAATAATCACTTCTTTTATACTTATTTCTGTGCTCTTCCAATTGTAGCCCAGGATGCAGTTAAGTCTTCATTACTGTAGGGGTGTACTTCTGGGTCACATTCAGCTTCTTGTCCACCCAGACCCCCAGGTCCTTTTCTGCAGATTTGCGTCCTAACCACTCGACCCCAACCTCTGCTGTTGTACTGTCACAAGTGCAAGATTTTTGCATTTGTCTTTGTGGACTGCATAAAAGCTTCTGAGAACAACACGATAGCATAAAGAATTACTTTATTTTTAAACAAACCAGAAGAACGAAGTCTCTTGAATGCATCTGAAGAGTTGATAGATGATCAAGATTATTAGGGAGAGTCTCATGGCAATACTGTTCTTTACAAAGTTGTCCTACTGAAATATTGCCAGAAGTTGTTGTCTTAGGAAAAAATTGATAAGAGAATATCTACCTGTGAATTCTTCAAAGGACCTAGCAATGGTACTTCTGTCCTGCTAACACATATGTTCATATAGAAGGATAGAAAGTGGCATATCCTGCACCAGTTTTTGAAGGGTTCAGATAACTGCAGATGAGTAAGTCAGACTTCTGTTAGGCAAATCAGTTGAGCGCCTAACAAAGAAGTAGACGTATGGATAAATGTGGTAATAGGCAGGAGTTAACAGGGCTTTTCTAGAGGGAGGGGAAAAGGGAAGTTACGAAGTTACGTCTTTTCAAAGTCATGCTTTGAAGGAGTCAGCAACCATGTGGATAAGGGTTATCTAATCAGTGTGATGTCCTTGGATTTCTTAAAAATAACAACAACAAAAAACCCTTGATTATCAAGGTCCTTAATCAGCCTGTTAAAGAAACCAAGGTGTCACAGAATGGGGCAGTACTCACATGGATTAATAATTGGTGAAAACCAAACTAAGTACAGTGAGAACTGCAAGTGAGCTATTAGCACTCAAGAAAGATCTTGAAGTCATTCTAGGTTATATTATGAAAATGTGGTATTGGTGTTTGGTGGGGAACAAGCAAATTGAATTTTGAGAATTATTTGGAAAGGAACAGGGAATAAAATAGGAAACGTGCTATGGAGTTATACAATAACATACAGCATTCCTTTGTCATGAATAATGTGTCCATGCCTGTCCCCTGCAAAAATAAATTTCAAAGGGTAGGAGAACTAGGAAGTGTAAGGGCAACAAGAGCCGTCAAAGGTAAGGAAAGGTGATCAAATAGATGAGGTGTCTTAACTATGGAAAGCAGTTACAACTCTTATTTTATACTGGAAATATAATCTTCCGATTGCTTTGTTGTTTTTAAAGCAATGAGTAGGAGGTTAAAAAAAGACACACTGACCTCCAGGAAGCTGAGAAGAAGATACACAAGCACTAATAGCCAGGGTAGTTTATATCACTTTACTGCATTCTGCAGAGAGGAAGAACACACACAAAACAGGCCATGGTAGTGATGGGTGTGCTTGAAGGAACAGGAAGGCATAGCAGACTTGCATTACAAACTAGATAGCTGCTGACTTTCTGAAAGAGCACTGGAAGGTTGGTTAGTAATGGAGGAATGACAGGCAACTGCATCCTCTTCAAATCTGGGAGGCTGAGAATAGGTTCTTGTGTGAAGCTATCAGTTTGACATGATGTAGTAGTAGCAGCTAGGAAATACAAACCTTTTGGAAAGCAAGGGCTTAAAAAGATTTGAATTGTCCCCAACTTTTTGTAGACTACCTGACTGTGTAAGAGGGATGGTAGGCATCAAGGACTCATTAGGGCCCTTCCTGATACAACCATTGTAAAAATGCTTGCTTACTGCTTCTGTATTGGATAATGGGAAAAAAGAAAGGAAGAGGAATGGGAATTGTGCCAAGTCCTTCTGGCCCCATTGGCCCCTTTAAAAGTGATCTGAGGGAAAGAACTGCTAAACCTCTCACCTGACAACCAAATGACAGATGTTTCAGCAAAATAAATGTCTGCAGTATTTTAAGACTTGTTTGTCCCGTTATTAATTTTCTGTAGTCAGTCTTTGTTGCTGCTTTTTTGTTTGCTTTGTTTTGTTTTGTTTTTTAAACTATGGCATGAAGCATCAAATTGCTAGAGGATACCTGACTTGGTATTTTTGTAGTTGAATTTTTGGTTTACATGGCTTTTAAGACTTGTTTACCTACAGTGGTGATTGTGGATGCCTTACGAACAGGAAGAGAGCAGCTTTCCCCGCAGGTTTGGTCTACTGTGTTGTGTGTATTTTGCTCAAATACTGGATTCTTGAAGATTCTGTTCTTTAATTCCCTGGCTTCAGCTGGGAGGGGGCACTTACCAGAAAGTTGGGACTATTCTCTTGGAAAGGTCTGTGCTAACCAAATTTTATCTCCTGTAGACCAACACGCCTCAGCGGAGTGTGTCATATGCTGGGGCATTGGGCATGTTTTTCAGGTGGTACAGGAAAAGATTTCAGTAGCCACAAAGGATAGGGATAGAAGAGGAGGGGATTATGCTTTCTGTCAGATACCCGTTACCTCTGTTACTCTGCTTTAAAAGAAAAATTGGAATACAAGAAATTAAAACATGCTCAGATTAGATCACTGACCTGTAAGGTTACATAGGAGAAAGTTTGAGAGAACATATAGTGAATCTTAATTTCTTTTTTTGCTTCAAATGTGTAAATGCTACATTTATATTGACTCTTTTGTGCAGTTCAGAGCTAGTTTCTATTAATACACATTGGTAGTGAAGATGAAACTGGAATTGCTAAAATAATACAATGTGGCTGACCTGAAGCTATCTACTTGTATTTGTTTTAGGGGTTGTTTCTCTATTGGCTGTTCATCCTTCTACAGTAAATACGCTTGGAAAACAGCTCCTGCCAAAAACATTCGGACAGTCTAATGTCAACATTGCACAACAAGTGGTAAGGAGACTTTGCATTTTTTTTTTTTCTTTATTGCTTGTACTATTGCTTACACATACAATAAGTCTGACTTGTAGCTTGATAGTATCACTTGTCATGGGCAGATAGTCTAAGCTTGTTTCTAATTTTAATAGACTTATGTTAAAACAAATGTTCATTCGCATAAAGAAATGCAAAGATGACTCAAATCAACATGCAGGTACCTGAATATTCAGGTGGCTTTATCTTAAAATCACTTAAAATTAGTGGCTCTTTCAGATTCTGCTTTGAAATCTGGCCTAGGGAAATAGAAATGAAGTCCACTGACAAATTTTTACTGAGATTGCAGTTAGGTGGAACAAAATTGAAAACAGAGCTACATTTCTTAGTGCTCATTTTAGATATCCTTTTGCTTAAACACTTATCGTGAGCTTTGTGTGAGGTGTACATGAAGTTAGAGGTTTCAAAGAATCTCATAATGCAATAGATAATATGTAGGTTATGAGAAGTCACTTTTATAGTGATTAAAATTTGGTGATCTGAAAAGAGTTGGTCTCAATCTTGCGGAAAGCAACTGTAGTGTGTAAACATCTGAAATGGAATGTCTTTATCTTTGGGTTTCCTCTTGATAGTAAAGCAGTGTCCCATCTCTAAGCCTTTCCCAGCTCTAAGCTCTAAGGAGTGTTTTATAATTGAGGCTGCCTGAATCTGTAAACTGTACCACTTCAGCTGTACAGATGTAGGGCAGATCATTTGCTGCTCTGTATTTCCTGCAGTGGTGGTGAATAACTACTTCCAGCAGCCACTTGTAAGTTAGGAGTGTAGCAAAATGAGTTTAACTGAATGAAATTGCTCCTTCAGTAGGAGACGTTTTATCAATAAATTTCCAAACAAGGAAACTCAGAGTAGTTAGGTATTCTTTTACTTTAAAATCAGTAACCAGCAGTAGGAGGAGACTGTTTTAACTGTGGATCATAGGCCATAATGGCACAGAGGGGGTCCCTTCTCAGTGTTCTTGTGAGATGCTGTACCACCTTGAGTTTGATGTTGAAAATGAAATGTTCTTTCAGGTAACTTACAAAATATTTTCTTAAAGTACCAAAACCAGGGGATAATAATGAAATTACAAATAATCTGACACTTTTTAAAATTTTGAACGAGTGTATTAATGTTTAGAACAATGTTTACATACATATAAAATAAACTCTTGTGTCTTCCTTCACAAGTTTAAATTGACAAATCCTCATCTGTATTGCCTACGATTAATTTTACATGTTAATGTTATCAAAGAAAATATGATTCCAAAATAGTAACTACTCTTAATGGTGTTTTTGTTAGTATGATTACTATGGGAAGTTTACATTTGCAATCATAATTTTTTCAGCACTTCAAGTCTTACTCTGAACTTATTAGCATTAATTTTTTTGTAAGAGAAGGGGGCCCACATCAGCATATTTGTATTGGCTGTTACCCGTACAAAATTAGATGCTTAGTTGTATGTTGTTAAAGAAGAGATGGAGGTTTTGTGTATATACGTGGAGAGAAATTTTGTGTAAGTTTCTGTTGACTTTACAGTTCTGAAGGCGATAGCAAGAACTATAAGCAAAGTTACCTATAGAACCCTGAGAAAATTTATCTCCTCTTAATGTGCAAAATGTTTTTGGGAAGAGATTTGAGGAGTTGGCATATCACCCTGCTCAACTTTCTAACCTTTGAGTGGTAAAAACAAGTTTTTAATACTTCAGTACTCAATTTTCTGAGCTTGTGTTCTTTGTTCAGGTAGTCTGGTTTCTTTTTCTTAATAGTGTCCTCATATGAGTTCTGCTGTTGAGTACAGTGAAGTGGAGCGTGTGGGCTGTCTTGCTCTTTTCCCTGTTGTCCTGATCTTACTAATTATCAGGGATCTAAACTGTAATCTTGTTCTCTTTTGAAATCAGGAAACTTAAGAGAAACAGCAGGAACTTCTTTTTCTACTTTTGCTTCCTCCCTGCCCCTTTTTCTCTAAACCCATCCTCTCTAATTCTATCTACAAGCTTTCATTTTAGGATGTTCCCAGTGACTCAATACTGCTTAACTCTTTTCATTTATGCTCTTTTAATTCAAAGTCATGGTTGTTTATGAACTTGTGAGTAAAAGTTAAGGGCATTAACATTTCTATTAAGGAGCCAATAATACTAAGTAATTCCTTAGAAGATTCTGAAACTCCAGACTGTAGGGTCTTTCTTAATAGTGATACATTAAAGTATATAATTCTGGCTAGTTTGCAGACTTTTGTGAGTTAGAATGGGAATGCAGAGCAGGTTTTGAATGTACTAAACAGACTTCACTTTTCTACTCTAGAAATGACCTGTGAATTTGTACATGTTTCCATTTATTCCTTTGTATTGTTGAGTATTTCAAGACGCTACTGAGCACAGTAGATGTCCAGGGTTTGCTGCTGGTTTCATTTTCTCCTGGCTGTAATTCCACCCCCTCCCTTGTACTGGCTTGGCTCTCATCTTACTGCACTGTCATACAAATTCTAGATGTGGCACCAGGGTGATGGTGAGGCTGCTTATGGAACTAGGAAGCTAGGGAATAGAGTGAGACCCTCTAATTTTAGCCTCTGCGAGCAAGATGTCAAATCATCTCTTCCAGTCTTCTGTAACTGCATCCTAGGGAATAAAAACTGGCTAACAACTCTCCTCTGTTCTCTGTATTGTCTACATTACTTGAATAGCATGTGGGTGGTTTTTGCAGTCTTTTGAGACATTCGATGAAACAGACCAGTCAATAGCAGCACTGGTAGTATTTTTTTTCATGGGGAGAAAGTGAGCTGGTTCATGTGTCCTGTGCCTGTTTGGCCATCCCCACCCTCATTCTGTTTCCCACAATCAGAAATTTTGGTTATAAAAAGTAGTAGAGGAGATTAGTTGACTTTTCATAAGAATTAGAAACATTTTAAGTATGGAGCAAAGCTACTGGAAAGGGGAGGAGGACCTAAGATTTTTCCAGCTGTCAGAAATGGATGTAAGAAACTTGTATGTTAACTACTCAGGTGGCATAATATAAAGGGACAATATTTGGGAAAAAATGCAGCTGTTTGTCCTTCCAGGCAGCTGAAATCATAAACATCTAATAGTCACTAGACTACCTTTTGCATTCTACATTTAAAGGTTATTCAAATTTTGGTTCATTTTAACTTTTCATGCATAAAATGTTTCATTCTGGGTTTTCAGTTTTTCTATTTTACTCCTGCTCAGGCTAAATTGTTGAAGCTAGCCTGAAGAAGAAACTTAAAACTTTGTTGGTGAGGCAGAATGTGGCCGCGTGAAAATACAGCAAGCTTGTGGGTGGTCATGAGTTTAGATTCATTTGATGTTTGTTTCACTTACCTGATATCAGGGATGCAACCTACTGTTTCCACTGGGAGGTAAATGTACCCCCAAAAAGTAGGCATATCTTTCTACAAAATAAAATCTGTATAGTATAATTTTGTTTTCCTAGATATGTATTCTCTAGAAAGTTAGATTTATAACATTTCCAAGGTTAAAAAAACATCATCTGCAGAAGTGGGAGTTCTGCTTCAGCTGGTTTCACAGATAAGGAGAGCATGGCTCTGTGTGCGAATGTATGTATTACTCATGATCAAATTAGCACATCTTGAGGACTACTTACCTGTAAGCAGAAAGACTATGATCAGCTCAGTATGTATATGCTCATAACATGTTCAGAATGGAATGGTTTTGCCTAAATTGGTGTTGCTCACTGCAGTGATAAAGAAAGTTGGCCTTTACTCTTCCTCACCTCCAACATACTTGTATTTTGGTTTTGACTCTGTAGTGATAGAGACCGACAGCAGGAGAGATTTTGGCCTTTCTTGCAACAGCTCTGCATTTTCTCTCTGCTTTTACTGATTTTCAGATCTTCTTGTTTCATATGTTCAGATTTTAACTGTAATTTACTGCAACTTCTTTATATATAGTCTGGTAGGTGGTTTTTTTCCCCTCCATTTTTCCCTTTTTCTTTTGGGGGGGGGGAGAGGGTGTGTGTGCTTTGATCATGTCTAAGTTAGTGTTGAGCAGTGTTAAGAAATCCAGCAAGCATGAAAAGCTCATTTAAGAAAGATAAAACATAAATGCTCATTACTTAGGGAGTGCTCCAACTGTATAACCTGTAGGCTGAAGTTTTTTGTGCTAGTGTGTATAAATTCAATGTATCTAATAGAAGTAAGTAGAAAAGAAGTATTAAGTGTTGTTTGGATAATGCATCATTTGAATCGTGCAGCATATGAATATCTTGGAATACTTACGATTATTTTCCAAATTATTTTATCGTTACTGTAGGTTATTGGTACACCTCAGAGACCTTCAGCGCCAAATACTATCCTGGTAGGAAGTCCACATACACCTAACACACATTTTGTATCACAGAACCAGACTGCAGATTCTTCGCCGTGGTCCGCTGGGTGAGCAAAATAAAAGTTACAAAAGATTAGTAAATTGTTTGGAACTTTTGTTCTAAATGTTCACTGTGATACTGTATGTACTCTTCAGGCTAGCAGTGTGAGAGAGAGTGTTGTTTACCTTTCCATCAAGAGCACTTCAACATTAAAGTATATTGTATTAAAATCGGGAATAGTCACACAAGAATGAATACCCCCTCATTTGTCATAAAAGGAACTAGAATATTTTCTGTAAACCCTGACAGATATTCTCACATCACTTACGTTTGGAGAATTTAGCTCCTAAAAGGACACAGGAATATGTCTGACTTGATTCGTTTTTTAATTTAGCATTTCTGTTTTGCTGGTGTATTTCCAAAAAAAATACAGTACATTTCAGATTGAACAAGTGTATCCCAAAGTATCATTTGAAAAAAGAATGTAGTCCTTATTGTGAAAAAGTATTAGATACTATGAATGCATTCTTTTGTTGTCTTTTCTCATGCAAGTTTGTTTTTAAGGGTCTCTTGTTAAACGTAGTTGCTTTAAGACTTAAATTTATCATCGGTGTCTTGTTACACATAAATAGATTTCTACTTTGGAATTACACAGTGAAATGAGATGTAGAGAATTGAGAGGTTCCATTGCTGATACTAATTTTGTTGATACTTAGATTTTTCTTCAAGTTACAGGGAACTTTTTATTTAAAAGATATGGAGAAAACTTTGTAATACTTCTTGTATCTTGTAACTTTGAAGTTTTCACACAACTTTATATGCTGTATAACTTCAAATCTGTGTTTTAGTGTAATGTTTAGTGAGTTCAATCAATGTCAGACTTTGTCTGTTCAGTCAGTATCAGACTTACATAGAAAATGCTTAACCAATCTAATTTTTTGTGGTCAAACCAGATGGGCTATTTAAATTTTAAAAAAAAAAAAAAAAAGACAAAAAGTAGTTTATCTCCTGTAATTCACTTTTCATATTTTAACATTTATCCCCCTATCCCTTCTTGTCTTGAAGATTGGATTTATTGGCTTCTTCAAGGAATACCCCTATTGTTAACTTACCTGCTACTGGAGCTAGCAGAGCTGCCAAAAGAATGGATTTGTACTGTCTGTCATCATCAAGATATTAGAATTGTTAATTATTGTAAATTGTAGGAGGAAAAATTATAGGAAAAAATGTTGGGAAGGGGTGAGAAGCAGAACAAAAGGGAAGGCTTGTTTTTTTACAGCAGTGTGCCTGTATTTGAAAAAGAGACATTACATATTCCAAAGTTCAAATCTTCTTAAAATATATATTATACGTATATTTAGGAAGCGGAACAAAAAAGGAGAGAAGAATGGCAAGGGTTTACGTCATTTCTCTATGAAGGTTTGTGAGAAGGTACAAAGAAAAGGAACCACCTCATACAATGAGGTGGCAGACGAGTTGGTTGCAGAATTCAGTACCACTGATAATCACATTTCACCAAATGAATCAGTAAGTATATGGGAGGTCAATTACATGTGAACTGAATGGGGGAAGAGAAATTTCTTTTGAGACTTTTGTATTTCTTTTCCTACTGCTAAACAAACAGTTCAGACATTACCCGAGTTTACCCATTTACTGTAATCTATTTGTTTTCAAACATTTTTGTCACAGGTATGTGTTTGATTAATGCACTATGTCTACAGCAGGCTTATGACCAGAAGAATATTAGACGACGTGTCTATGATGCCTTAAATGTCCTTATGGCCATGAACATTATCTCTAAGGAGAAGAAGGAAATCAAATGGATTGGTCTACCTACTAACTCGGCTCAGGAATGTCAGAATTTAGAGGTATATGTACTAGGAAGTTCACAATGGCTTTGTGTTTGAGTAAATGTTTGCAGCTTTAATATGTTCTGATACAACATGTGCGTGTGGTCTTCTGAGATAGCAAGGTGGAATAGTATGGTCCCTTTTGACTCTTCTTTTTTTTTTTTTTTTTTACAGAACACACATTTAAACTTCCAGATTGCTTAAATACTTTTTTTTTTTTTTTAAAAAAATTCTTCTATGTCAAAAATACAGCTTTTGCAGTATGTGTGAAATGGTTCCAAGTGGAAGTTAATCAAAGCGAAAGATTAATGTGTATTTCCAACATTGCAGTAGTGGTGCTCAGGAGTCAGGGAGATTGTTTTCTCCAGATGCCAGAAAAATAATACATCTGTGATGGTAGATGTTGCGTGTAGATCAGTATATATATGCATTGCTGGTGCTTTGTTGCTGCAGGTGTTACATATTTATGACATTTATCTTGCATGAACATGTCAGACTTTTTTACTGCGTGTCTTGGGTAAGAAGTAAAATGTTTTATGCTGAAAGGCATTCATAAGTTCTGGCAGGATTTTTTTTTTTTTTTTTAGCATCCTGAGATTTGCAGGGTAATACAGTTACCAAGGTTTACTGAAGTCAATTCACTTTACTGGAATAGAATGAGACTTTGTATTTATTCTTAATAAGTCTAAAT